AATGCTGTACCAGAATGCTTATTTCCACAGCTATGGAAAGGGATTCACAGACCCTGGAGCAGTCTGTATTTTCTTTAGTTATGAGCAAAACCTCTTGACTCATTTGAATTACAAGGCTGGCTTTTCCAAACATCCCTACTGAATCTTCTGTGAAATTTACCTTGTGAAGAAACATCAAATTCCCAGCTCAAATCTGGGTCCATATTTACCATGCTGCTGTCCTGGAAGCTCAGGAGGTTTTTTGGAGCCGTATTGGATAGCTTCAGCTCTTTTCAAAACTGGATCTGACAGAGGAAAAAAAATTATAAGTACCAAGAAACTTCCCAAAAGAAAACAGCAACCAGCTATAAGTTTTCCAGTGGGATTTCTGGTTTGCTTATGGACAAGTTTACCTGGGCTCATGCTGGGAAGTGCTCTCCAGCAAAGACCTTTTTGTCAAGTCATTTGGATATGCAGCAACAGAAAAGCTGCTGAAGGATGCTTCAGGCCAGGGGCTTTGAAAGTTTTCATTACAAATTGTGCAGCCTAATGAATGCATCCTAAAATGATGTGTGAGCTGTTGGAAGACCAGGGAAAGTCTAAGCCATGACTCTACCTGAGCTGCCAGCCATTGCAGGACATGTAGCCAAGCACCATACTGACATGATACCACTGCATGACTTAAGGGACTGAACTGAGAATAAAGCGTCTTGAACCATGATAGGACACAGGAAAAGCTGACCTGGACTTTCTGAGATGCAGTCTTTAAGATACATGGTAGAGAATGGGAGCAGTAAACGTCATTTCAAAAACCACTGGAGGTCTATAGAATGTGCAGCTCCTACAGCCCCCTGGTGACAAGCAGCACCAGGCAGGTGTCACCCACAGCACGTGAGTCGTGTGCTCTTCTGCCCCCTTCCACGGGTGACGTGCAGCAAGTCACGCTGCCATATCCTGCCTGCACAGGGACACCTGACAAAGGTGAAGCTCTTCTGCTCTGATGCCCCAGCTCTGTGAAGCTCAGCTGAGGAACTGCAGTTGTGCACAGATACTTCCAGCTGGGACTCAGGCATCCTGAACAGCATCTTCTTCTGTGTCTAACAGGAAATGCCTCCCACAAGAGAAAAGCTGTGCTTGGTGGCACCACACTGGGCCTGTGAGCCACGTTTTGTGGCTGGGACCCTCAAACACTTAGAGACCTTAGGTCTCTCCTCATCCCCGTGACTGTCCAGGCTTTGCTAAAACCATAAAAGCTCACCAGGAAATTGTACTGGGTTTGCATGGCAAGGTTTTAGTCATGGAAGGGCTCCAGGGATGGTGTCTGTGAGAAACTACATGTGATGAACTGGCTGCAAATCCCTGCACTGCTGGAGGGGAGGAGAAAATTTGGAGTGAAATTGAGCCCAGGAAGAAAGGAGGGGTGAGAGGAAGGTATTTTAAGATTTGGTTTTGTTTTCTCATTGTCTTGTTCTGATCTGATTATTAATAAATTAAATTACATTTTCCCCAAATCAAATATGTTTTGCCTGTGACAGTAATTGGTAAATGATCTCTCCCTGTACTTATCTTGACCCACAAATCTTTCTTGACATGAGCCTTTACTGTATTTTCTGTCCCCCATCCTGTTGAGAGGGGTAGTATTAGAGAGGCTTTGGTGGATCTCTGGGGTCCAGCTGGGGTCAACTCTCCATAGAAGCAAACCCCAAATTCACCCACTGATGAGACGTCCTGTCCATCTGCAATATGTCCTGAGCCTGAGCCCACACATGTAAACACAGACTCCTTCCCTGAGAAAACAGACAGGAGCAGCCGTGAGCACTGCTGTCTTTGACTCTGTGTTTGAAATAAGGGAGAGAGGTGGGAGGGAAAAGTACATGGGCTTCTTAAGGATCTGGGAAGGCAAGTTGTTTCAGATTCCCATATGGCATATGGGAAGTGGCAGAGCAATGTGTCTCCTAACCAAAGGGACTAAAGAAGCCCCTGATCCCAGGGGGAGCAGTGGGGGAGAGGAGAAATAATTGTCTTCACTGTTTTTTTAAACCTAATGCAACAAGGCGATTATGGACTTTCCTGAAGCAAGAAGGGTTTTCCTCCCAGACCAGTAGTGGCTGGAGGGCTCACTTTTTCCAGGTCTGAAGGAGGGTTCACGACTCTGCCCATGTGATGATTTTGATTATTCCACTCTTGTATCATCTATTGAGTTAAAGCTGGTGTGAAAGACAAAAGAAGCTGGGCAGAGGCGATCATTTGCCCACAGGGAAACAAAAAGGTGACAGCTATACGATACAAAGAGCATTCATTTCTGGCCTCAGCACTTCAAAATATCTTCAGACTCAGCTCACATTTTCCACGGCAGGCCTCTATTTCTTCATATATCACAGAAACTGGTAGGTGGAAAGGGACATCTCAATCCATAGCCCAACTCCCTTGGTCACATCAGAGCTGATTCCAGAGCTACATCAGGCGGCTTAACCAGAAGCATCATCAGGTTTTATTCACCCAAGGCGGTGTTGTTGGTCACCTGAAGCAGCCAGAGCTGTCCCCATAGGTTTGGCACCCCTCTCACAAGCACAGCCTTCGGGAGGTTTGCTTGTCACTCTGCTGGGCCCAGGTCCCACCTGCCCAGTGATCCCTGCCAAGGAGCGAGCGGTCACTTGCTCATCCAAGCTAGGACAGGGACCCAGCTGAGTCCTCATAGGTGGCTCTACCTGCTCTCTGCGCCGTTTCATCCATCAGTGTTTGCTTTCCCAGACCATGCAAAAGGGCCATCAGAGGCAGAAATCGTCAGGGAAGAGACTGCAGAGGGAAGTTTAGCAGAGCCCGCAAGAGCATGGCTGCGACACCTCCACAATTCCCTCAAAGCAAGCAGACCTGGAGGAGGAGGAGGAGAAAGAAGGAAATCTCCGGCGCTGCTTGGCTGGCAGGACCAGATCTGCTGTAAGCTTGCAGCAGGTTCCATCGGAAGCAAGGAAGGGACAGCTGAGGGAGTTCTGCCCCCAGCTGATGAGGTTAACAGATGGTCACAGGAATTAAATGAAATGAGCGGAGAATTAGCACAGAGCCCAGAAAGACAAATAAGGCCCCGAAAAGGTATCACCATTTCTGAGGAATCACTGGTGAAGACAGGCTTTGTTCTTACCTTTGTTCTTACCAGCACGACACGACTGGTCTCACTGTGGAAGAAGAATTAGGCTGAAAGATGAATAAACCTGCAGGCTCTGACACAAACCAAGCACACAGGAAGGCTTGAGATGAAGCACAGTGCAAAGCCCTGCATTCTCAACTTTTTCTGGGAACCTATGCAACTGCTTGCTGAGCTCACTCTGTCAGCCAAAATACCACTGGATACAGCATGGATCTTTGCAGATCTACAGGAAAGGAAGAAACTGTGTGATTTTCTATTGTGTTATCTGTAGCCCTCATCTCAAGTCAGAGATGACGCCCTGCGGGTCACCGATACGGAAAAAACCCCAAAGCAGATATTTTTCTATTTCTGTATCTCTAGCTGTATCTTCTAATTATCCACAGACAATGACAAAGGTGTTCAGTAAAAATGAGTAAGATGGAAGAAACAGTAGAAACTGGGGAATCAAGGGGCCCATAGAGACATGGAGAAGCTGTCTGGCAGCCCTTTGTCACTTCCCTCTGTCCTGCAGTATTTCCCTCAGAGGAAAGGAAGGGTGGCCACTCACATTATGCTGGCCTAATAGTCAGCTGCTGCCCCACTTCCTTCTGGATGACTGCCTGGATAGAGCCAGTGGTAGTGGTGTTGCATCCACACAGAAAGCAGAGATGGAATTATGCTTCCATAATTTCTCATTGGCAAGCACATTCTTCACTGCCCCTAGCCAGGCACTGCAATGGTGGTGGGGAGGAAGTATTAAAACTGTAATCTGCCTGTGCATAGATTGTATCATCCGCTGATAATTTGTCTTCAGAACCGGGCAGTAAAAGCTGGCTGCCGAGCAGAAAGTTTGGGGAAGTCCTGAGACTAGAATCTGTCATTTTTTTAAATGGAGCAATGCTGGGAATCCCAAATTGCAGCAGCGCAGCTCCGAGGTACGTGCAGGCTGGAGCAGCCCATTGATCCCAGCACCCAAGGTGGGAGCAGCCAGCAGCAACCTGCTCTTGGAATGCAGCTCTCAGGGGCAGGCACCCAAGCTGACTGTGGCTCCAGCTGCCAGCAGCTCCACCAGGAATGGGTGCTGGAGGGAGGTGCAGCGTGATCCCACCCGGGAGGCACCCACAGGCAGCGGGGCCTTGGCAGCAGCTTTGTCCCTCTGCGCAGCCCTGCAGCCCGACACCGGCATTTGGAGAAAATGACAGCGGATGCTTTGCCCCTCTGGAGACAAGTAAGTGTTTGCGCTTCCAGTGTCTGATCCGCTGCTGCAGTCGGACAAGCACAAAGCCGCTGACGCTCACACAAAAGTTGGTATTATTTACGGCTCCCGGTGGCTCGTTGCGCGACTGCCAAAGTACGAGTTTAAAAAGAAGAAACACGAACTGCAGCTTTAAAGGTCTGTGCAGATAAAAAGACAAAACGCTTGACAGCTCTCCCCAAGGCAGCTGGCGGGACAAAGAACTGAAGCTCTTGTCTCTCAGAACACTCCCTGGTCTCTGCGACTGGTGCCGTGTGAGTCACGCCTGAAGCCAGCCAGGGCAGGGGGCCACGGGACAGCGTACGGTGACGGCAACACCGGGCTGCATCCAGCAGCTACAGCTTGGTTTCCCTTTGCCAAACCCCTCCTGCCCCGTGCCGAGGCCCAACAGGACTTCCGAGAGATTCGGGACAGCCCTGGAGCTTCGTCCTGCGTTTGTGCCGTGCTCTCGCTGTAACTGCAGCGTGACAGGGGGAGCAGGACTCAAACATGCTTAAATAACCAACACCTGCCCTTTGATCAACCTCTGGCTCCCCTCTCCACCCACTGCTGGGCAAGCCACCCTTGGAGTTGGCTCTTCCCCCAGAGCCAACTCCCACTGACCCCTGCAGGATGTGAAGACACAGCCTTCCACGCCAGGGGTTTGAAATATTTTTAAACGCTTTTATTTACAGTGCTTGTTGAAAACAATATATATATTTATATCTATCATCCTCGTGATGTCTGTGCCATAGAAAACGCTGTGGCTATATTGCCTTTAATTTACAAAAAATGGTCACAAGAAAATCTGAAGGGAAAAAATGGAAATCAAAGTTTGGTCCCCAATTGTTTCTCTCTTGATTTGTTTTAAAAAAGCCTCAAATTAAAAAAATACACAGCTCAGATGAAATTCATATATAAAAGCAACCCTTATCTTCCGAAAAATTCACGAGGGCCAGCTTGCTGTCATGTAAACTTGGAAAAAAAAGAAAAGCTTAAAATAAATCCTGTCTCCGTATGTCGCTTAATAGAACCATTATTTGCTCGTAATATTCTTTGTCTTTGTCTCTCAGGGTTCAGCGGGAAAGTGGATGAGAAGAGGCCTAGGACTGGGGAACGCACCATGAGATCTGTGCCCGCACCTCCTGGCTCAGGGAGGAGCTCTGGCAGCAGGGCTGGGGAGCAGGAGCTCTCAAGAATCTCCTACCAGTGACAAGAACAGGCAGGCAGGTGACAAGGGGACGGGAGGTGCTTTGCCACGTGAAGCGCCTGGCGAGGTCGTGTGCCCAGGAGACCATGAGATTCTTGAGGGAAGAGGAGCACTGGTAAGTGGGGTGCAGTGAAGGGATGCAGGGGACTGGGATAATTTCAGCTGGGCAATGTCATGGACGGGTTAGGTCTTTGAGTGAGAAGGGAACTGCTGTCTTCCCGTTTGAGAGCATTTCTAATCTTTCCTCATCTGAGATTGTGTGAAGCCAGAGGCTAACGGGCAGTGCAAGCACAGGCTGGAATGGAGGAGGAGAGATGGACGGAACAGGGGAAATGGGAGGGGAGGACTCAAGCTGAAGAGCCGTTTTCTGTCTTCTGTCTCTTTGGATCCACTTCATCCTGTATCCGCCACGGGGAGGAAAAAGAAGTTACCATCAAACAGACACCACCCCAAGGTACATAATTTCTCCAAAAAAATTCTTAACTGCTGCTCTTTCCTCCATATGGAAATCTCTGTTAGGCCCACCCTAAATCCACTCCTCTCTAAAGTACCCTGGAGTGCCCAAGACAGCTGTTCTGTTGGTTAAGATGTGGACAGTTCCTTCATATGGACACTGTACCCATGCTGTTACTTCCAGGAGGTGTAAGAAGCCGAGGCTCACAGCACTCCAGACAGACCCTAGGGTCCACCCTTACAAGTCCATCTCCTGGCCCAAAGCCCAGAAGACACAGGTAGTTCAGAAGTCATCGCCAAGCACAACCTCCAGCACCTTGACTCTCTTCCACTTACTCAGCACCATGCTGGTGGAAGGACCCGGATCTTACAAGGAGCATACAGTAATTTACTATCCCCTTGCCACATCGGATTTGTTTACCCATCTGCTGCTGAAGCAATGAGACCCGAGGTCAATTTGAGATTCGCAGCAGCAGCATCCAGATGGATTTGATCAACAAACAGCAAGTAGCTTCGTTCCTTCTCCCCACCATTACTCTCACACTACTACTCACCTCCTCCTCCTCTGCAGATCGTTTCTCTGCATGGCCATCTTGCTCTTGCCCATTCTCGTCTGCTTCTAAGCACAGGCAAGAAAGGAAAACCATGGGTTAAACTGAAGCAGCATTTAAGGGAATGTAATCTCAGAATCAAGAGCTCAGAGAAGGAATTTCCCTCCACAATCCTCTATTCCTCTGCAGCCTCCTATGTTTCCAATTTTCCCTACCTTCATCCTCATCACCACCTTCTTCTTCATCCACATCATCAGGATTCTCTTCATCATCCTCGTCAGCTCCATTCTCCTCATCCTGAACGAAACAAATTGGTCAGAGCAGAAACTGGTGCCCGGATGACCTTTCCACGTGGCTCTTTGCTACAAGCACAATTTCCAGAGCTCCAGCCACTTCAGGAGTGCAACTGAGTGCATTGTTACTCCGACAACGTTATTCCCACCACCCCTGCTGAACACTCCTCCCAACCAGCCTTCGTTCACAAAGCCAATCCTTCCAGTCCATCCCCAACAACACGAAGCTCCTTGCCTCCCACCAGCTTACATCCTGATGAGCTGCCACCATCCCTCCCAACAACCAAAGCATCTCTGTGATTACAGGCTAATGACTTAGCTGAGGCTCATGGTACATCTGCTTCCAGATCCCTCCCGACCTCCATCAATCTGTGCGTTTCCTCACTGTTCCTCCCCCCACCTTCTCCAACACATGTTCCTTGTGCACCTCAGGATACCTCAGTGGGCGCAGGACCACATTTCCCGTGCCACATTCTCCCACTTGTTCTCAGCTCCATTCCCTTCTTTGACCTTTTTTCTCCCTGATGGGCTGTGCTGACTACACTAAGTCCTTCAAGGCTCATTTTCCACAATTATCCAAGAGCTCACTCTCCCTTTATCCCTATGCTGGAGCTCCCATGGCCTTCCCTCTTTCTTAATCTCCCGTATTCCCTTCATATTTGTTGCCCAAAGCGAGCACAAAAACCTCCCCGACGTCTCCAAATCTGTCCCTCAGAAGGGCCTCACCTCTACTATCTCCTTCTTCTTTTCTTTGTGGACCGCTTTCTCTTCGATCTTTTCCTTCTTTTCTTTCCTTTCCTATATAAGAAATGAGGTGAGGGGGGAGGGGTGGAAAACCAACAACATTCCGGCGGTCAGCGGCAATAAAGGACGGGGATGCCTAAACAAAGACGGCTTGGAGGAGAGGCGGAATAGCGGGCAGGAGGAGACATATTAGGCGTTAAATCCGCCCGCCTGACAAAGGAAAACAGCAGCGAACGCGCGTCAGAGCTACTTTTAGCCCGCACACGCGTGTGGAAACCAGAAGTGGCACGGAAGAGTTTTAACGATTTATTTAAAAAAAAAATAAATAAATAAAAATAATCAACCGTAGGATCGAGGCGTTTCCGGACCTCTCTCTCTCTCTCCATTCCACCCCTCCTTCCTTCCCCCGCCATCCGAGGGCCCGCGCTTTGTGTCCACACAACTTTCCTCCTGCTCCGCCGTGACACCGCTTCCCG